TACAAAGATATATGTGTCGTTTGCACTTTCATATGATTTTATCATTTATTTTGGGTATTTTGTGTCCCTCATTGCTTCTTCTATTATTTTGTGCATGATCTGTGAGATAATTGGCGCGCAGACTGGAGCACCGCCGGAGTTCGCCAGAAACGTGGGCTCTCCTTCAGCATAAAAAGAACACATCTGCAACCGTCACGGTGGTGAGATTCCCTAAACCCCTAGCTAGTCCTAGATTTTAGTGGTGTTTAGGCATGTGGATTTGATCGCCCACACCGGGTGTGTGTACCGACATGAGTCGGTGTGACGACGTGCCTGAGTGATGAATCATTGGTTTTCCTAGAACTAACCTTTAGGTTAAGATTTTCCGTGTGTAACTAAACAGCCCCCATAGAGTCGAGTGTCTCCCTTTTGTTGTGAGCCTCAGCACAAGTTCTGATAGTTTGGAGTCCATCACTCCCCTTGCTTTGGATGCCCAGCTTTACTTGGAGAAGCTGGGAGGTCGAATTTGGCATAACGAGAGAAGCTTTGTAGTTATCTTGCTTTGTAAAGTCTGGAGGAGTTCACAAAATGGGAAAAACTTTTTAGCTAGCCCATTTTGTGACACCGTGGAAAGTTTCCCTCTCGGAGATCTGTAGAGAAACTCCCCACATTTCCTCACCAAAACAAGAGGTGACGGTGCCTCATATCCAAGTGTCTAAACCTTAGGTTTCCTAGGTAAGGTTGTTAGTATGAGTGTGACTCTCTATCATATGTGGTTATTTGCACCTCATTATTTGCATGTGCATGTTTTGCATGTTACATATTGTATGTCATATATCGCACTTGCACTTTGCTCCTTGCATTTTTCACTTGCACTCTGCACCTTGCAGTTTCACTTGCACCTTGCACCTTGCACCTTGCATTTTCTCTTGCATCTTGCACCTTACACTTAAACGTTGCACTTGCACTTGCACCTTGTATCTTGCACTTGCACTTGCACCTGCACCGACACCACTTGTGCCTTGGTCGGTTATCCTGAATCGGTCACATCACTTGTGTTTCAGCCCGCTACCCCAGTCCGGTTGGCACAACACTTTGGTTTGACTGGGTGCTCCATCCCGATTGACATATCACTTGCTCCTTTGCATGTTTTATATGTGTTTGTACATGTTTGTCTGCATGATCAATATCATCTACTTGAGTTGCATTCTTTCGGGTCACTGTCTTACCGACATACCCTCTTTTCGGGTCTCTGCCGCTACGACATGCCTACCTCCAGGTCACTGCCTTACCGATATACTCTCTTTTCGGGCAGGACCCCTGCCGCTACGACATGCCTACCTCCGAGTCACTACTTTGCCGGTATATCCTCTTTTTGGGCCCCTGCCGCTACGGTATGCCTACCTTCGAGTCACTGTCTTACCGGTACCCTCTTTTCGGGCCACTACTATCACAACATGCCCCCTTTCGAGTCATTGCCTTACTGGAATATCCTCTTGTCAGGTCCATGCCACTACGACATGCCCATTCCTACGAGTCACTGCATTCATGACATACTCTTTATCACTACTTATATGTTTTTATTTTCTTGCATTAACATTTGCATTTGCATGTTTGCATAGATAGTGAGCCAGGTTCATTATGAGAGTGACCCCGTGTTGGTCACGATGTATTAACGAGCATTGCTTGCTGGGTTGATCCTAGTGAGCAATGCAAGTTAAGTCATCGGGATTGACACGAGTATGACTGTGCTAAAGATCTAATAGATCTAACTCGTGTCACCATTCTTCGTGACACCCTTTAAATCCTTCAGACCTTTAGGATGGGGTCGGTATGACGACCCCGTCAAAGTCATACTATACCTAGACTTACCCCTCACTGAGATACGGCCTTTCGTTAGATGGTGTGCTAGACTAGGACTTAGGGTGTTAGGTAGTCTTTTTGATGCCTGGTTATTGTTCTCTGTTTGATTGGTTACCCAAGCCAGATATTTTTCTTTTGCATTATGCTTATGGTGTGATTGCATGCTGCATATGTGCGGTAGTGTGTTAGGGCGCTTTTATGCAGGGAGTCATGCCTATTTATTTGCACACACACATGTACCGCTATGTGGGAGCAATTAATGATTTATAACAATTTACTTGCAGGTGCTATTAGTTCCCCCACCTTTAAGGCATAACTCATGATACTTTATTTGCATGTGAGTTTTCCCGCTGATACTTGTTTTTCATGCAGGATTGAGTATTTTCTTTTTCCCATATACTTTTTAGAGTCTATGAGAGTACTGTAGCAGAAATAAGATATGAGCACGGGTTCCGAGGCATTTGACATTAGAACCACGTGGAGAGGACCGGGAGCAGATGCTCGTGCCCTGTATCTTAATTCTGCATTTTATATTGATGTATATAATTATGACCGTGCATGTATATGCAGAGTCCAACCACCCTTTTTCTTTTTTGGGATATGTTGCCAACCTAGCGGCACCAACCTGTTTATTATTTTGATTTAGCTTGTTTCTGCCTTTTGCACCATGTTGCATGTCTGCACTTGCATGTGTTTTTCTTATTTCTTTATGTGGTTTATCTGGGATATCCCGATGCAACATAAGCTCTTTAGGACTTAAAATCCTAAATTTTCTACAAAATCCTAAATAAAATATTCAAGATAATTAAATTTTAGGATTTAAAAATTACAACTTTTACTTTTTTTGCATATATTAATAGAGCCTCCACAATACTTATGATCACTCTAGATAATTGCATTCATATTTGCATGTCCCGAGGAGGAGTACCCGTGCTTCTCCAACCTGACTGGCCCAACATACATTCATATAGGTGGTTGTCTAGTACGCTTAGGGTGTTAGAAGGTTCCCCAACCCAGACGGGGTACAAGTCCTCTTGTTTGAGTGCTTTCAACTTTGTAGCTAAACCTCCCTTTCTTGTTCCCTACTGCGACATCCTTGTCATTTTAGCGGGTATAAGTCTCACCTTTTGGAGCTCTAGCCAATAGTCCTATGATAGAGTTTCGTTCTTTTGACCTTAGGGCTAAGGAGATCCCCGCGGACGATGTGATTCACTGATTGCTGACCGGGGATCTCTAGTTGTATTGCGACCATATAGACTTAGGGTCCAAGTAGCTGTGGATGACAGGTCCGTGGTACCCCGACTCACTTATCTCTGCCTTTTAGGATCACTCTACCTTTCTTTTTGTTGAGCCCATTTGAGTCTTATCGCTCCTTGTCGTTGATATCATCTTGACGGTTCGATACTGATGAGCTGTTGCCCATTCGACATACGATGATTTGTCCTCTGCCCTTATGGCCCGGACGTGATTTGACGTGTTGGGATATACCCTTCAAGATGATTTAGATTATTCCGTGGGCCCCGTGTGCGATGAGTCGTTACCCATTTCGGGATGTGAGAGACTCACTCTCTGCCCGATTGCTTAGCGTGAGCTTTGAAGCATTGAGACTGCTCCCACACAAAATAACCTTCCTTTAATTGTCTATACCTCACATCTATGATAATATGAAGCGAAACTCATTTTATCGAGAGTATTCTTGGGTATCCTCTAAGATGTAATTAACCAGTAGGAACACGTTCCTCTGGGAGTGCTCTTGACCTCAGAACATGTACATACACCTAACACTCTGGTTATGAGTAGCCTACGTAGATACTTATTTCGCGGATATTGGTGTAAGGTGCCTCCGCTCGATCTTGTTTTGGGCGAACATTCTTGACCTATTTTTGCGAGGTTTATCGCACGTAGACTCTCCACATTTTAGTTTTTCTCTTGTTTGTCTCTTTGTCGTATGTCCCTTTTTATTCGGTTCCTCTCATCTTCAAATCATTTATATGGTTCAAGAGAGAGATTTATTTGAATAAGGGAAGTATACGACGATCGACGAGCTGACGACTCCTTTCAAAATAAAAAAAAAGAAAAATGAACGGAAACACTCTCCTTGTCACCCAACACTACGACCTCATGACCATCTACGACCTACACGATCCACAGTTCATGCAACTCCCATATTCGGCCTCTAAGGTCTATGAATATTATCACAACTCGCACATACAAACGTTATCAAATTTCATGCAACTCCCAACTCCAACTCTACAACAAAAGAATATTTTTATAACTCTTTGCCACGACCTATATATCCAGCTACGACCTATGTAGCTCTCAACTTTTGTCTTTGCGGCCTACAAACATTATTACACGACCCACATATCCAACTACTTCCTTGACTTTTAACTATGGTCTCTATGATAAACTGACTATACAATTACCGTCTATAACATTCATGACAGACTATTGTCTCTATAATAAATAACTAAAGCATTCACGATTCGTTATGCCTGTTATTGTTAAAATAATATTGTACATAAACTTTATAATTTCATCTTCCCTAACTCAAAAGAAGAGTGTATATGTGTAGTCACCATTACAATTGTGAATTATTTCATATGGGTCAGATCTCGTGATTCCTCCTTTTTCAGGGGTTTTTATATAAAAACTTATGGTGTCTCTACTTGTCACTTTCATTGCCTAAGCATGTGCTTAATTTTCGTGCAACACTAAGATGCCAAATAATTACTTTATCGCTGTGAATCTTTTGACTTACATCAAATATATAATCAAACTAATTATATTTAAATAAAAAAAATTATGAATATTCAATAGATAATTAAATAAGTTTCCTACGCATTTATCCGTGATATCGTGATTGAAGACGTAGTCTCCTACCATGAGTTGCGGGTTCAAATTACACATATTACCTTTTAGCTTTTAGGCTCACATTTCCTTAAAAAAAATCAATTCTTTGATAACTAATTGTTAGTCAACACAAAAATTAGTTTGTAATCATAAGTAATAAGGTTAGGTTATATTCAAATTTAATTAATGTATCCTTAAAAAAATTAAAACAATCCTAATTTGTTAATTATTACTTTAACCAACATGTGTGTGTGTTAATATAACTAAATTAAAATTATCCTTTTTGGTCACTTGTGCGTGCTCAGGCCGACCATATATCGCAATCAAAGATTCAAAACAGTGCAAGCTCCCCCTGCTTCACGAGAAAATATTCCCTTCTTCCAACCCAATGGCGGACGCGGAATCCTCACCGACGCTCGCGCCTGCTCCTCTAGCAGCAGAGAGCGTGTTGGTCATTCACAACGTAGCGAAGAGGCACAATATAGGGACGATGGTCCGTAGCGCCACCGCATTCGGCGTCTCAGAGATGGTTCTTGTCGGGCGCCGCGATTTCAATGCTTTTGGCAGTCACGGCTCCACCGCCCATCTCCGATTCCGACATTTTCATTCACTATCTCAAGCCCGCCTCTACCTCAAGGCATCAGCATACCTCTTCTACTAGAAAGTCTTCTGTCTTTCAATTCCTACTCATCTCCAATCTAAACCTAATCTGACCCCTGCTATTCTATTTTCAGGGGGAGAGAAACTGCGACATCTGTGGTGTGGAGATTGTCGATGGGGCATTCCCCATCACCCAGCAGCCTTTCCAAAGAAGTACCGCCTTCCTTCTCGGAAACGAGGTTTGTCTTTTTCTGAAAGTTGATTGTGTTAATGTTTTCATGCTAATGGAATTTGGTTTGATCTGGCGAAGGGTACCGGCCTTTCTGCTAAGGAATGCGAGATCTGCGACTTCTTTGTTTATATTCCACAATATGGCTGTGGAACGGCATCATTGAATGTTACTGTTGCAGCATCTATAGTTCTACACCATTTTGGAGGTAAGAGAGAGAAATAGAAGTTCTATTTTCAGAAATTTTACATACATGGCGAATGTAACAGTAGTATATTTATATCTCAAACTCAAATATTCTATTTTCATATAATAACCAAAATAAATATAATATCTCAAATCTAGCCTCTTGTTTCTCTCTCATCTTCTCCATTTTCTTCGGTCTACAGTGAATCATTTTACTTTCTGTTCAAAACCTCAGCATCTTCTCTATTATTTTTCGATCTGAAGCCGCACCATCGGAGGGATAATTTTTCCCTCAGGTCCCCGTACGGTGCACTACGTCCGCTATCCAAGCAAAAGACGCCATCTGGTCTTGCGGGACCCATATTTACACGTCATGATAAAGGAAAAATTTCGCGTTAAGCCCGACCCAACCCGACGTGTTAAATGTTACGTATTATCCCACCTTTTTGGCGTATTCCCGCCTATTTTTGGCGTATTATTCCCTCAGAAACTTCTATTCTGCATTATTCAGTAGAAAAAAAGTTTTCAAAAAAGGTTTTTTTGTCTCAGCTAGGTTTGGTCGCTGCATTTATGATGAAGTTAGATTTCTCTATTAATAAAGAGTTTGAGCACATGGATGACGAAATGAATGTCAACGTCTTTGAAACGGAGCTTTACGAAATGAATGTCAACGTCTTTGAAACGGAGGTAAGATTTCTTGCTTACTTCAACCGTTTTCCGTTTTCTGAGAGTAACCCAACAATAACCTAGGAATAACCTGCACATAAACCCACCAGATCTCTAAAAAAATGAGATTTTGTGTGAATCTTCGATTGTCGTTAGGTTATTTCATCATTATTCTGTGTTTAGGGTTATTTATTTTCGGGTTGATTGAAGAAATAATCAATAACCCGAGAATAACCAAACAATAATTTAAGAATAACCTGCGCATAAACCCACCAGATCTATAAAATAAGTAAGATTTTGTGTGAATATTCGATTGTCGTTAGGTTATTTCATCATTATTCTGTGTTTAGGGTTATTTATTTTCAGGTTGATTGAAGAAAAACTTAATAACCCGAGAATAACCCAACAATAACCTGCGCATAAACACACCAGATCTATAAAAAAAGTGAGATTTTGTGTGAATCTTCGATTATCTTTAGGTTATTTCATCATTATTATGTGTTTAGAGTTATTTATTTTCGGGTTGATTGAAGAAAAACTCAATAACCCGAGAATAATCCAACAATAACCTAAGAATAACCTGCGCATAAATCCACTAGATCTATAAAAAAAGTGAGATTTTGTGTGAATCTTCGATTGTTGTTAGGTTATTTCATCATTATTATGTGTTTAGGGTTATTTATTTTTGGGTTGATTGAAGAAAAACTCAATAACCCGAGAATAATCCAACAATAACCTAAGAATAACCTGCGCATAAA